GGCTTTGTCTATAAGCCTCAAGCAGGTGAGGATATTGAAATGGCCCTTCCAAAACTCCCTGAGGGTTAAATTTGTTTCTGAAGTGATTTTAAAGCACCTTTCAAAAAGTGCTTTGGTGTAGAGTTTCTTGAAGTTAGAAATTACCTGCTGGTCCATGGGCTGGTTAAGAGGAGTATTGTTAGGAAGCAAGAACAAACTGAACTCCTCTAGCAATGTGTTTTCCAAGCTTGGAGGGTGTGCAGGAGCATCATCCATAAGTAAAAGTGCCCTGAGTGGCAATTGTTTTTTAATGAGGTACTTTTTGACAGTGGGAGCAAAGAACTCGTGAACCCACCAATTTGTTTTTCATAACGTGTTCTTAGAAACTCGTGGATTTTCGGAATGATAAACAAATAAGGGCTTCAGTTTCAAGGACCACTTGCATTACCACACAGTAATATAAATATTTTGAGGAACTGTTGCAGTATAGCCCTTGTGGCTTAGCGCTTCTTTTTGATTATAATAATAATTGAGGAACTGTTAAATGTTGATGAAGATAGGGAAGCTTTGATTTCATGTATTGGGCAGAGAAGTATAACATCTTGTGAGAATAAGGAAGAGCCAGTTGTGAGTGTTGGGGAAGTGCATGAGGCAGTGGTAGAGTGAAAGCAAGTAAAGTCGCTGGGATTGATGGGATAAAGACAAATGTTAAAAACAGGCAGGGATATAGTTTTGGAGTGGTTAATGCCTTTAATGAATGTGTGGAAGGGGGTAAGGTACCTAGAAATTAGCAGAGAGCATGCATAGTTCCTTTGTATAAAGGCAAAGGAGACAAAAGAAAGTATAAAAATTATAGGGGAATAAGCCTGTTGAGTATACCTGAATAAGTAGTATATGGTAGATTTACTATTGAAAAAATTAATAGGAAGATGGAGAGCTGGATTGCTGATTAACCCTTTCACTGTCGAGAGCCCTGATCACAAACTTGTTCTGTGTCGAGAAATGTTCAAAAAAAAAAAAAAGTTTTTCTTATCAAAATCTTAAGAAATTTAAAAAAAAAAAAAAAATGTTTTTTTTTTTTGCGATTAGTTACCAAGGTATAGAGGCATGAAGTTAACAGAAAGTGAACCTCTTACGACAACATTGGCGACTTGACTACCCCCTCACTCAGTAATATTTTTACTTTTATACTATTTTTTCTTTTGTTTTCTAATACAGTGGACCCCCGGTTAATGATATTTTTTCACTCCAGAAGTATGATCAGGTGCCAGTACTGACCGAATTTGTTCCCATAAGAAATATTGTGAAGTAGATTAGTCCATTTCAGACCCCCAAACATACACGTACAAACACACTTACATAAATACACTTACATAATTGGTCACATTCGGAGGTAATCGTTATGCGGGGGTCCACTGTATTTTATTTTTTCAAGTAACTTGTGGCCTGTGAGACCAATATAATGCATAATGTATATATATCCACTCATTGTATGCAACACAATAACTGCACAAGCATTGTTGTTATATTGCTTGCAAAACACGTTTACACGAACCCACGCTGCTTTTCCCCACACACATCATCTTCCCCACCACCCACATGCTTCTATGTAACTGTATTCGTGTATACCTGAATAAACTTAAACACCGTCTTCCCCACCACCCAAGCTGCCTTCCTCACCACCAAAGCTGCCTTCCCAACCACCCAAGCTGCATTCCCCACCATCCCCGCTGCCTTCCCCACCACCCATGCTGGAAATAAGTCGCTTTGTTTGACTTTTTTGGGTTATGCTAGGTTCTCTACACATGCTGCTATGTATGATAATCTATGTAACTGTAAACGTGTATGCCTGAATAAACTTACACAGTCTTCCCTACCACTCTCACCATCTTCACCATCCAAACTGCCTTCCCCATCACCCAAGCTGTCTTCCCTTATCACAATCTGTATTTGGTATCCTGAGCATTACTTTCGGTCACAAACTCCTTAAAACCATGAAATTAATTTTCACTGACACTTCCACCTGTGTTAGAACTATTACTTGGGAAGAGAGGAGTCCCAAATTCACCAGGGAGTCAGGCATTTCTTACTGCTAGGCATCATGAACAAGGACTACTGAAATGGCATTCCCATAATGCACCACTGACTCCCCAATTTTTTATACTGCACACACAGCACATGTATGTCTACCAGCTTTCTCCCGCTAGATTTGAAGCTGCTAGGATTTTGGCTTAGCACTACGGCACCAACACTGACTTCTAAGCCATAGTACTACGGCACCAACAGTAAAAGGGGTTAATAAGGAGGCTTTAGGAAAGGTAGAGGGGTGTTACAGTGAAACATATAGGAGAATAGCATTTATATAAGAATAAAGAGGCTGTTTGTTGCATTTATGGATTTGGAAAAGGCATATGATAGGGTGGATATGGTGGCAGATGTTGCAAATGTTTGGAATAGGAGGTAGATTGCTGAAAGCAGTGAAGAGCTTTTATGAGGATAGTGAGGGTCAGGTTAGAGTATGTAGGAGAGAGGGAGATTATTTCCCAGTAAAAGTAGGCCTTAGGCAGGGATGTGTGATGTCACCATGGTTCAGTATATTTATAGATAGAGTTGTAAGAGAAGTGAATGCTCAGATGTTGGCAAGAGGTATGGGATTAAAAGATAAAAAATCTAACACAAAGTGGGAGTTGTCACAGCTGGTTTTTTGCTGATGACGCTGTGCTTTTGGGAGATTCGGAAGAGAAGTTGCAGAGGTTGGTGGACAAGTTTGGTAGGGTATGTAAAAGAAGGAAATTAAAAGTGAACATAGGGTAAAGTAAAGTGATGAGGATAACAGAAAATTTAGGTAATCAAAGATTGGATATCAGACTGGAGAGAGGGAGTATGGAGGAAGTAAATGTATTCAGTTATTTTGGAGTGGACTTGTCAGCAGATGGGTCTGTGAAAGAGGGGAATCATAGAATTTACGAGGGGAAGAAGGCAAGCGGTGCACTGAGGAGTCTGTGGAGACAAAGAATGTTATCTATGGAAGCAAACCCCTCAAGGAAGGTTCCTTGATGCTGGTGAGGGGCTCTTGATCTAGGGAACTGGATCTGGGCTCCAGTTCCCTGAATTAACCCTGAATACTGTCCATCCTCCCCACAGGTGCTGTATAATCCTACTGGTTTAGCACCTCCCCCTTGATTATAATAATAATAATAATAAGGAAGCAAAGAGGGGAATGTATAATAGTTGTACCAACACTCTTATGTAAGTGTGAAGCATGGGCAGTGAATGTGGCAACAAGGAGAATGCTGGAGGCAATGGAGATGTCGTGTCTGAAGGCAGTGTGCGGTGTAAACGTAATGCAGAGAATGCATAGTTTGGGAATTAGGAGGAGGTGCGGGGTTACTAAAAGTATTAGCAAAAATTAAATACTGTACTTATTAATGTACTCATGGTATATTACTTGTAACTATTATACTGTACTGCATAAAAGTGTGCTATGTGTTAGGAAGTGTATTCTGTTAAGTTATCATAGGAATAAACTTACCACTTGTGTTTTTTATGAATAACTTGAATTCTGGAAATGTTATCAGTGCCTGGTCTCTGAAAAGTTAGGAAAGGGGTGATGGTGTGGTTCAGAGGATCATTGAAATTGTGATATTAATGCACTTAAGAACATAAGGAAGAAACAATGCAGCAGGTCTACTGGCCCATTAGTGTAAATTGGAGAATTAGGAGCATGCTAAGACCAAGAAAGGAGTACAGAATTCTTTCAGCCTGAGGCCAAGACATGTGGAAGTGGGCCTGGAGGCCTGTCAGGTTTCATGATGATGCTGATTCCCTGCAAAGTTCAGCAGAACTTAGAGGACTGAGAGCCACTGGCAACAGAACCTAGAACACAAAACAGGGCCTGACACACTCATGAGAGCTTCATAGTAAGACTGTTGGCCACCTGTTCCAGATGTGAAGCTGAGGGTTGGGGTCTGTAGCATGGTCCCAGGAAACCCTTCAGAGTCTGACTCGAGAAGAACCCGCAGAAGGTTTAGGGTAAGACGAGAGGCTGGAGAAGACGCTAGGAAAGGTGAGATTACCAGTATAGCCTTGTTGACAACCCTAGGTGTGGAAGATGTCTCAGACAACACAAGAAGTAGAGTGGAAGAAACACTCCAAGGATGATCCTAGTAAGAGTATAAAGTACAAATGCAGATATTTAAAACATTATTGAAGTTGCCCCTGTTAGGGACAAATAAGATGACTGAAAACAGTCTGTCACAGGCAGATAGAATAGGTGATAACAAAATCTGTGTGATCACTGAGGCATTTATACCTCACTTTGCTCTTGCATACCACAACATCAAAAGAGTAATGATCAGCGAGTGCAACTGATGTGGCTGTCAGGCACAAGCGAGCAGCAACAAAACCCTACCAGGGGATAAGGAGGGGGTAGGTATTAAGTAGAAAGAGGTGTGATATGATACTAGGGGCAGGGTCTCACAGCAAAAATATACATAAGCTCAAAAGAGGTCGAATATATTTTAAGTAATTAAGTCAAACAAATTATAAAATGAGATTTTAGTTGGCGTGAGAAAGAGAGAGCCATGTGTGCTAAAACATTCTGGGAGTGTGCAAGTGAATGCATTTGTTGAAAGATTATTATTCACAAAAACTTTAGCTAATAATTTTGTTGCTAGTTGTTTTAGAAATTTAGACTTTCATTATGCATTAAACCTGTGTGGGTCATTCAATACAGGAGTAAAGTTGAATCCTCCATCCCCTTAATCACCAGACAAGTCTTGTTATCCTCGTATCCAGGCTTTCCCCAGTTTTTAGAAATATATGCAATAGATAATGGTTAAATCTACTGCAGTATATGCTTGATAGCTTCTGGATCCTGATTGTATAATAAGTACAATACTATTATGCTTTAGACTTGTTTACTTAATTATGCCTCTTGAGGGAAGATGTTCATATATTATAATAGCATTTTGCTTCTGTTTGTAGGCTGTTTATAATTAAAATCCTTTTGTTACTTGCAGGTGTATCCTTGGAGCAGAGTGTGAAGTGGTAACACAGGCTGTTAGACTGTTGGCAGAGAAGTTGGATATCTCACGACCTTTACTACTGTCTCTTACTGTCCCTGCACTCAATCACTCCACAGTCATTCATATAGCAGAAATCCTACTTGAACACAAGTGTTGGTAGAGTAAACAAATCAAGTAAGTTTTTTATACTGTTTGAGTTACATCCTTAAAGATACAATATTTTTTATTCTAAAAGCCTTTGATTGTAAGTGAAATCCTTTGTTTCTCAACAAGTAATGTTTATTTAATATTGAATTAAGAGCTTGGAGTGAAACCTACCTGGAGTGTACCTGGAGGGTGTTTTGGGGGTCAGTGCCCCCACAGCCCAGTCAATGACCAGGCCTCATGGTGGATCAGGGCCTGATCAACCAGGCTGTTACTGCTGGCCACACGCAAACCAACGTACAGATTGATTATTTGGTAATGTGTTGTAGTTCAGAGGGTCATTTGAAACTGTGATGTCTACACACTTCTGGCAAGACAGCTATGGTGAATGAGTTAACTTTTTTGGGGTTCATGCTACCTTGGTGGTACTTGGCCAGTGTTAAAAAAGTGCAATAATTGTGTACAGTAGGGCACTACTTAAATGGAGGGCTAGGATCCAGGCTACCGCTGTAAGTGGAAATGGTCATAAAGCAATCACTTTTTCACTTATAAATGCCTGATAATATTATTTTTTTTATTATTTTTTATTAACACGGCCATTTCCCATAAAGGCAGGGAGGCCTGAAAAAGAAAAACTTTCATAATCACTCACTCCATCACTCTCTTGCCAGAGGCATGCTTACACTACAGTTCCTTCAGAGTGCTGGCACTATACTTCCCATCTCTAGGAATCAAGTCTGGGCTGCCAGTTTTCCTGAATCCCTTCATAAGTGTTACCTTGCTTGCACTCCAGCAGCACGTCAAATCCCCTCCTTCCAACCTTTTTTAGGCTGACCCCTACCCTGCCTTCCCTCCACTGATTTATACTCTCGAAGTCATTCTATTTCATTCCATCCTCTCTTCATGTCCAAACCAACTCATTAACCCTTCCTCAGCCCTCTGGATAATAGTTTCAGTAATCCCACACCTCCCCCTAATCTCCAAACTATGGATTCTCTGCATTATATTCCCACCACACATTGCCCTCAGACATCACATTTCCACTGTCTCCAGCTTCCTTCCTTCCTCATTGCAACATTCACAACCCATGCTTCACACCCATATAAGAGTGTTGGTGCCACAATACTCCCATGCATTCCATTTTTTGCCTCCATGGATAAGGTTCTATGTCTCCACGGATGCCTCAGTGCACCACCCATCTTTCTTTTTCTTCATTAGTTCTGTAGTTCACTTCATCTTTCGTATATCCATCTGCCGACAAGTCCACTCCCAAATGTCTGAACACATTCACTTTGTAATCCCTCCTTCCAGTCTGATATTCACTCTCATTACCAAACTCATTTGTTACCCTCATCACCTTGCTCTTTCCTATGTTCACTCTTGATTTCCTTCTTTTACATGCCCTTCCAAATTTGTCTACCAACCTTTGCAACTCCTCTTCAGAATCTCTCAAAAGCAGTGTCATCAGCAAAAAGCAACTGTGGGAACTCCCATTTTGTATTAGATCCTGCATATTTTAATTCCACACCTTTCCCAAACACCCTAGCATTTACTTTTTTTACAACCCCAACTATAATTATGTTAAACAACCATTAGTCATCCCTGTCTAAGGCCTTCTTTTGCTGGAAAATAATCTCCCTCTCTCCTGTGTACCCTAACCTGAACCTCACTGTCCTCATATAACTGTAATACTATAAAAATGTAATACTGTAGGTACAATTATCTTAAACACTCAGGTTGCATCTTGAGAGTTAACCACAATATTTGCTGTCTAAAATTTTTTTGTTGTTAAAGAATGTTAACAAGATATTTGAAGAACATTTTCTAACAGAATTTCATTTTTCAGGCTATGGACAAAGCAAATAATTATTATGGAACTGGAGAAGAAATGAATATTCAGCAATTATTGTCTTGTGCAGTGGGAGCAGAGTGGGAACATGAACACATTGGCACTGCTTGAGAGGAGTTCATGAAGAATGCTGATAAGTTTGATGATGATGAAATTATGAAGACGATTACACATCAGAATCAGAATAGGCTATAAATTATTAACCCTTTCAGGGTCCCCAGGCCCTCTCCCAGACTTGTTCTCAGAGTTGCCCAAATTTAAAAAAAAAATATATATATATGAAAAGATAGAGAATCTTTTCCCGATCATAATGACACCAAAAGTATGAAATTTGATGGAAAACTTACGGAATTATGCTCTCGCGAAGTTAGCGGCCTCGACATTGTTTACACATCGGCGATTTTGCCCACTTTGAGCCCTATTTTCAGCCAATTCCAGTGCACTAGTTGACATAAATCATAACTATTTCGCTAGAACTCCATTTTTTCTATCGAATGAGTACAAGAAACCACCCATTTACCGATTTCAGCTATCCAATACAGTGGTCAGAATTTAGCAATTTTGCCAATTTCACACAAATTTCAAAAGATGCCAATTTCCAAATTGGGTCCAGAATAAACAAGACACATTCCTGGCACTAAAATAACATTTCCTCTGTTCATTAGTCACATCCCCAGGCCCCTCTTACATTCTTTTGCTTTCCACTTTGAATTTTTCTTCTCACAAAAAATAGAAGATTTACTGTTATGCATACTACTGCATTAGTGTAGAAATGGTATAAATAATATCAGCGCACTTGCAAAAGAATATTAGACTCGCCAGTTGACATGTATTGGACGCTTAGCATGATTTGTTTACTTTTGAACTTTGGTAAAAATCGAACATTTCTGCTACTTTGAGCTCAATTTCAAGGTACTTTTCATTGTAAAACCAGTCAAAATCATCTCAATTTCTGTAATATGTCTTCCATTCTATAAAATGAGACCAGGAAAACTAGAATACAACAGTAAATACCATACGAAAATACAGTGCAAAGTCGCTGTTTTAATCCAAAAACACGGTCAAAGTTTTTTTTTCTCATTACACAGTGTGTGCTGCAGGATTTTTTTTATTCTGCGCACACTGACCACATAGACCCATTCTTTCATATGTAGGCCTACCAGCTTTCTCTCGCTAGATTTGAGGGCGCTAGAATTTAGGCGTACTAGTATGTCAAAAACCCTGGTGCGTAAGCCGTACTAGTACGTCCGAAACCCTGAAAGGGTTAAATGATGAAGTAGGAAAATGTACGGGGATAATAGTTTTATCAAATTAAAACTAAAATAATGTGAAATTTTTATAGATTTTCAAGCATTTTAGTCATTAACCCTTTAATAAAACTAGTGTATTCATACTTTTGTTTCCAATAATAAATACAGTTTTTTTCATATTGTGTTTTCATATCTTCATTGTTACTTTGTCTGAATTGTCAGTGCTTCTTAGAAAACCCAAAAATTTTCACTGGTAGTTTTCCTTTTATTCCTATTATAAATTACAATTTCCAAATCAGTCTCTCATTATAGATGAAGCACACACTGTGTGGGCTGCTAGCACCAACAGCCTGGTTGAAAAGGCAGTCAACAGGGATGGAAAACCCGTCGAAATCAGAGGGGTATTTCTAAGGAATTTGCTTATTAGCAGCCTTTTGCTTCATATGTTTTTCTTTTGTGTAATTATTTGTTTTTCCATATTTTCACAATGCATTAGGCCAAAGGATCGCCACTGTCTCCTTTTTTTAAAATTTGCATGTCATTACCTACGTTGTGGAGGTGAAAGAAAACTTCTGACCTCGTAAATACTCTTTCTTGCTGTTGCAGATGGAGTGCCTGTGTTGCCACAATCACCTGGTGCTATCTGTTGATTGTTAGTGGTCGGGAAGGGGGATGGGTCACTGCCCTGGTCCTAGGCCAAGCTCATTCTGTATCATCCCAGTGTATTGTTACTGATTCTAGTAAACAGGCCTCATTATTATTTTGAAGTAATGTTCTCTTGTTGGCCCAGTCATTTAAGGTATGGCAAGATAAAATGTATATTAAGATTCACATAATATTCTTGGAAACAGATAACCAGTAAGGATAGATGCCCACTTAAGAACATAAGAAAGGAGGAACACTGCAATAGGTCTGTTGGCCCATACAAGGCAGGTCCTTCACAAATCCAACCCACTAACAGAATAAGTGCTACCCAAGCAATAAGCTTCGATAATTCTATTTACTCAGTGCAAGTCCCGCTCAAATCCAACCCCTCTCACTCTTGTGTTTCTCCAACCTAAATTTGAAACTACCCAAGGTTTTAGCTTCGATAACCCTACTAAGCAGACTGTTCCACTCATCAGCTACCCTATAACCAAATCAGTACTTTCGTATGTCCTTTTGAGATCTAAACTTGTCTAATTTGAATCCATTATTGCGGGTTCTCTCCTGGAGGGATATCCTCAAAACCTTATTTATATCCCCTTTGTTAATACCCATCTTCCACTTATACACTTCGATCATGTCTCCCCTCATTCTTCATCTTACAAGTGAATGTAGTTTAAGGGTATTCAATCTTTCTTCATACGGAATATTTCTAGTGCTGTGTATTAATTTAATCATTCTAAACTGAATGTTTTCTAATTAATTTATATCCATTCTGTAATATGGAGACCAGAACTGAGCTGCATAACCTAGTGAGGCCTTACTAATGATGTATAAAACTAATATAACTGCTGGACTTTTGTTGCTTACACTTCTTGATATAAATCCCAGTAATCTGTTTGCCTTATTATGTACACTTAGGCATTGCTGTCTTGGTTTAAGGTTGCTGCTTACCATAACCCCCAAGTCTTTTTCGCAATCTGTATGGCTAAGTTCTACGTTATTTAACTTATAAGTACTAGGGTTATGGACACTACCGAGCTTCAGGACCTTGCATTTATCTACATTGAACTGCATCAAGCTCTATTTTCAGCCAATTTCATTGTTCTAATCAACCAAACTCATAGCTATTTCGCTAGTATTCCTTCTATTCAATCGATTGAGTACAAGAAACTGCCTATTTACCTATTTCAACTACCCAATAAAGTGATCAGAAATATGTAATTTGGCCAATTCCACACAATTAAAAAATTGCCAATTTAAAAATAGGATCCAGAATAATGTAGAAATTCCTGACAGTAAAAAAACTTACTCTGTTCATTAGTTATGTCCCTCAGCCTCTCCTGTATTAGGCTTGCTTTAAATTTTGAATTTTTATTCTCACACAAAAAAAAAACAAAAAAAAAAAAACAGAAGATTTATTGTCAACCTACCCGGAGGGTATTCCAGGGATCAACACCCCGGCAGCCCGGTCCATGACTAGGCCTCCCGGCGGCTCAGAGCCTGATCAACTAGGCTGTTACTGCTGGCTGCATGTAGTCCAACGTACAAGCCACAGCCCGGCTGATCCGGCACTGACTTTAGCTATCTGTCTAGCTCGTCTTTGAAGATAGCCAGGGGTTTGTTGGTAATTTCCCTTATGCCTGGTGGAAGGCTGTTGAACAGTCTTGGGCCCCAGACACACATTGAATTTTCTCTTAGTGTACTGTGGCACCCCTACTTTTTATTGGGGATATTTTGCACTGCCTGCACTATTGTCAATGCATTTGTGGACACAGACTGACCAGTTGGACGTGTATTGGACTAAGTGATTTAATTTCTGTACTCTCAAATAGTGACAAAAATTGAATATTTCTGCTAATTTGAGCTCAATTTCAAGCTGCTTTCAATCCTGAAACCAATCAGAATCATCTCTATTTCTGTAACATACCCTCCATTCTGTGAAATGAGACCAAGAAACCGAGAATTGAATCATAAAAACTTTATGAAAATACATCACAAGTTGCTGTTTTAAACCAAAAACATGGTCACAGTTTTTTCCCATTGTGCACTGTTTGCTGCAGGATTTTTTTTTTATATGGTGCACACTTAACACACAGACCCATTCTTTCATATCCAGGCCCAAATTTACCATTCGCAGCTTATTTGAGTGAGCTGACCTCATGGTTAGTTAGTTTAATATGTTTATTATGCACCCCATACCCATCCTGTGGGCGGTAGTCAAAAGATTACAGAGGTACATAATTGGTCCAGGGACTGGACTCCAAAGTTTTGATAGCTGAGCAAGTTACAAAGGTAATGAACTAGATCTGGTCATAATCATGACCAAGTTACAAAGGTAATGAGCTCCAGGTTGAGCTGGTCACACTCATGAATAATTGCAAAGGTAATGAATCATAAACACATTAATCATGAGAATTTACTAAGGTAATGAGCTCCAGGTAGAGCTGGTCACAATCATGACAAGTTTCAAAGGTAATGAATGATAAACACGTTATGACATGATTACAATCATAGACAAATTACAGAGTAATGAGCAGTTAACAAACATAGTAGGGAATTCATCCATTGCCCCAACAACAGATGTTGCTAGGTGCCTGTCTCTCCTCGGTAGACAGCCATTGCAAACAGCAGCAAGTTGCCCAGGGATCTGCTGCTTGCACGAGCACCATCGACCCTCCCCAAGAGGTCCAAGAAGCCAGTGACTCCGTTAGCAGCCCGATGAAGAGCTGTCCTAGGGACATGTCAGCGTCCTGGTGGACGCCAAGCTGATTGAAGATCCCAGGCCCTCGTGTGCACGGATGTTGAAGCTTGAGGAACTGAGTACACACTGCCTGTGGCACACCTGGCAGCTGCCTCACAGTCGAACTCCACGATGCTGTCCCTTTAGTGGAAGTTCCTGTGAGCCCGGCACTCCCTGCAGTGCCATCGCGGGTTAGGGGAGAAATACCCTCTACAGATGGGGTGGCGCTGGGAGTTGGGTGGGTGAGGCGGGGGAGACGTGCAGGGGAGAGGGGTTATGAGAGGGTCACTGTTTACTACACACGCCCTCCCCCTCCCCCCCAGCGGAGAGGGGGGGAGGCGCTGACTGGTCCTGACTCAACAACAACAAACCCTCTAAAACTGCACAACACTTCAACTATTTACGCTGAAACAATGCACTGGGATGTCCGTTCGCTGCTCTGGTATCTTCTCAAAGCATTCACACTGAGTTCTGTTAAGTAGGGACCTGGTCAGCCTCTTTGACCAGGAGCTATCCTTGAAAATCCCGCAGCTAGCCCGCTACACGACCTGCCGCGTCGGCCATGCCAACAGCTGTGTGACCTCATGGCGCAGTTCTCCAACCCACTTCTAAGCCATAGCACAATGGGACCCACCCCAAAAGGGTTAAGAGCCTTGCAAATTTGTGCATTTTTATGGATGGTTATATTTTTCTAAAGTACTTTGATACTGATGTTATGCATACTCGCTTGAATTTAAGATTGTACCTAGAATGTAATACCCATTTTTCCACTGTCTTCCTATTGTCTGAAGCCTTTCACTGTCCAACCCCTGATCTGAAACTTGTACACAGTGTCCAAGATTCTCAAAAAAAAAAAAAAAAAAAATTCTTATGAAATGATAATCTTTTTTTGAAGGTAATAAAACGTACGAAACTTGATAAAAAAAAACACAAAAAAAATTGATGAAATTGTACTTTCACGAATTTTACTGTGTCAGCGACATTTCCACATAAGTGATTTTGCCCACTTTGTATCCCATTTTAGGCCAGTTACATTGTTCAAGTCGACTAAATTCTTAGGCAGTTCACTAGTATGTCTTCCATTTTATCGATTGAGCACAAGAAATTTCCCAATAAAGTGATAAAAAATAGGTAATTTCACCAATTTCACACAAATTTCAAAATAGGGTCCAGAATAAATAACGCAGGCATTCCTGGCACTAAAGTAACATTTCCTCTGTTCATTAGTTACGTTTCCAGGCTTTACATGTAATATCCATTATGTTTTTTTTTTTTATTCGCAAAAAATAGAATATTTACTATTATGTAATTGTATTAATAATATCAGCAAATTAATGAATGCATATTAGACCCACCAGTTGATGTGTATTGGGCATTTGACATGATTTGTTTATTCTTGAACATCGGCAAAAATCGAACATTTCCACTAGTTTGAGCTCAATTTCTAGCTATTTTCAGTACTAAAACCAAAATCATCTATTTCTGTAATATATCTTTCATTCTATCAATTGAGACCAAGGAACTGCAAATACAACTGTAAAAACTGTTTGAAAATACACCACAAAATCAGTGTTTTAATCCAAAAACACTGTTGCATTTTTTTTTCTTGTGCACTGCGTGCTGCAGGATTTATCTTTTGTGGTGCACACTTATCATATAGATGCATTCTCTCATATCTAGGCCCAAATTTATCGTCCACAGCTTATCTGAGTGAGCCGAGCTCATGACGTAATTAATTAATAGGTGACTCCTTCCAAGAAGTAACACACCCCCTCCTCTCCTCCACCTTCTGCTTCCAGTATGCCATTAGCTCTCCTCTGACAGGTAAGTGGCAGTTAAATTTTCGTTTACTGTACAATATTTCAGTTAGTTTTAAAAATTCACTTTCAGCTTTGTGTAGTAGTACATTTTTAATAAATTATATTGTCATTTGAGGTCTGGAATGGATTAATTCTATTTACATTATTCTTTATGGGAAAAATTGTTTTGATTGTCGTCCACTTTGGTTGTCGAATTAACATCTGGAATGAATTAAATTCGACAGCTGAGGTTCCACTCTGTAGTGTTAATTTTTTGTTCTGTTGTACATAACACCCTTTGATCAAACTAATCAATATATTTTCAAACATTTTAGTTCACCCTGCCTCAGTAGGATACAACCAGTTTGTTAAAAAAAAATTGTTCTTCCCCTGCTATTGGTATTTCTAGTGATAACATTTCTGCTTATTCCTCTTTCTCTCCAATATACAGTGTTGGTGAAATTGGCTCTACTTTCTAAGAACTCTAAAGAAGACAGTGTTCACCTTCCTTTCACAGTGCTCTTTTCCTGTCATGTTAGGAACTGTAGCCATCCTATAAACTAATCCACTTTTTGTTTAACACACTGGCCATATCCCACTGAGATAGGGTGACCCAAAAAAGAAGAAATACTTTCACCATCACTATAACTGTCTTCCCAGAAGCGTGCCAACATTACAGCTGAAATGCTCCAAACTGCAATATCCCCACCCCTCCAGAGTACAGGCACTATGCTTCCCACCGCCCTGAATTCAACAGCACATCATAAAGACCACTTGCCTCCACTCCAATCTAACACACTCACACATGCCTATTCAAGCCCCTCGCATACGAAACCTTCTTTACCCAGTCTCTGACCTTTCCTAGGGTAACCCCTTTTCCTTCTTCCCTAGTCTACTTCTAAATTATATATACATACGAGTCTTCATATGCTGTTTTATTGAATCGACTCTCATATACATCCCTAACATGAAACATCGCCCCATTTTTGTTTCTCTAGATGTTTGTCGTTTCCAGTACTATAGTCAAATATCCTGAAGTTCAGAATGGAAATGACTTGAACTCTAGCTTTCTTCCATTTCCTTTCTTTTTTTCAATATACCAAGGCAGGGTGATTTCTCCCCCCCCCCCCCCAAGAAAAACAAACATCATTCACACTATTACTGTCTTTGCAGAGGTGCACAGATACATCGCTCTAAACAGCAAATATCCCAAACCCCTCCTTTAAAGCGCAGGCATTGTATCATCCACCTCTAGGACTCAAGTCTGACTAACCGGTTTCCCTGAATAGCTTCACAGAATATTACCCTGCTTACACTCCAGCAGCTCATCAAGTACCAACAACTATTCATTTCCACTCCTGTCTAACACACTCCTACATGCCTGCTGTATGTCCAAGCCCTTTGCACACAAAACCTCTTTAACCACATCCCTCCATCCTTTCCTAAGATGACCACTGCCCCTCCACTACAGATTTATACACCCTCTAAGTCATCCTATTTTGCTCCATCCTCTCTAATTAAGCAAACTACTTCAATAACCCCCTCCTAAGCTCTCTGAATAATACTTTTAGTAACTCCACACCACCACCTAATTTCCACACTAATTTTCCACGAATTCTCTGCATAAATTTACTCCACACATTGTCTTTAGACATGACGTCTCCACTGCCTCCAACCTCCTCCTTGCTTCAACATTCGCAGCCTATGCTTCACACCCATATGGTAATAGGTCAGGACAGCCTTTACCTTTAATATACCTTTGATGAGTTTCAAGTCTTTCTACTCCCAGAGCCCTGCCATGGGCTAGGCTCGTCTGGTGCTAGCCTGGTCAGTCAGCCTGTTACTGCTGGAGGCCTGCTGCCCCACATATTCATCACATCCTGGTTGATATAGCACCTGGTGAAGATATTTGTCCAGTTTTCTCTTGATGTCTACACTTGCTACAGCAGTTCGATATCTTCTGGTAAGATGTTGAATAATCTAGAACCATGAATGTTGATACAATGTTTCCTTATTGTGCCTACTGCACCTCTGCTCTTCACTGGGTTTATCTTGCACTTCCATATCTCTCACTCCAGTATGTTAGGGCAGTGTACAGATTTGGGACTAGGCTCTCATGTACCTTCCAGGTATACATTATCATGTATCTATATATCCTCTACTCCAGTGAATACATATTCAAGACTTAAAGGCATTTCCAGTAATTCAAATGCTTTACTGGCTCTGTTCAGGCCATAAACAATCTCTGTATTTGTTCCAGCTCTGATATTGGACAGGCTTAATGTTGTCTATTTTACACATCCAGTATGTGAGTCAGGAGTGATTTCCATATTTTTGAAAAGGCCTTGGCACAAATTTGTTCAAGGTTAATGAAAGTTTCTTCTTTGGGTTATCCTGCCTTGGTGGGTCATGGACTGGTTAATTTGTTCCAAATGATACATCAGTGTTGGGTTATTTTATAAGCTGATAAAATTTAATTTTAAAATATTTTTGTTTGGCTTATATATTTGAAAAAGCTGTTAAGTTCTTAAAATGTTTGTAGGATCCTAGTTGCAGCAGGGTTAAAAACAAAATATTATGTTATTCAGATTTTATTGAATAACATGCCAAAATTCACACAAAATGCTTCTATTTCACTAACAAAAAAATATTAATAGTATACTTATTCTACACAAACATGTAACTTGTTGTCAGAACATGAGGACGGGGGCTGCTGGCAGGGGGTAAAGGGGGTGGGGGACAGTTGGATATGCCACGCACAAACTTTACATTTATGTAGAAATTGTCACACTTCTATCCTCACCCATTAAAAAGAGGTGTGCTGGCCTGTGATATAAATTAGTAATTTCTATTAAATGCACCATGATCATATGGACAGTGATTCTCCCAGTGCTTAGGCTGTACTATCTTAAGGGGCATCCTACAAAAACTGGACACATAAGTACTGTACTGTATGCCTTAAAAGCCAGAGCCAACCCCAACAGTACAAAGATCATTAAATGACCAGTAACTAGGGTGATTATCACCTGATGGTTGGGGATACAATCTCTTGTTATGAGCACACCATTCACCAAAAAAATGTACATATGTAGGGTACAGCAGTGAATGGGACCCACTGAATTGCACTATGTACATCACAGATAATAGTATTCTCAGTTGTACAGAACAGCCAATTTTGTAGTAAATTAAGGAATCTTGCTTTGCTTTGGTTTGTAAGACATTTCTGGTAACAAGGCTTCATAATGTACAAAAACTATTGTGTGTAATGGATAAATTACTAGAAATCTACATCACTATGCGGTCTGTGGGTGTGATGAAGCTTTGCTTCAGCCCCTACACCCCCCTATCCCACTGAGCCCCAGCACGCCGGCCTGTGGTACACTGTAATCACGCCACAACAAGGTGCAACATATGCTTAGGGTAATGGGTTTAGTGTCTTTGCTTAGAAACTAGGTGTTTTGATTTATTATAATCAAATATAGCTATAAACATTTCTTGGAGAATTATACATTAGCAGTATCATATAAATTATTAAGAATCTAGACTTTGTATTTATATAAACAACGTTAAGTCAACACAGTCTAAATGTTTATGTATCGACAGTTAGTGTTGTATTTGGTATGGTACAGCTGGCTCCTCCTTCCTTGTGGGCAAAGCCCCGTGGTAGGTGGTGGTAACCACAGGAATGGATGGGTGGCAGCATTGTTGGACCACCTAGAGCTGGAGGAACGGTGGTGGCCAGCAAGGCACACATACAGGGCCTAGTGATGCCCACAGCTGCCACCGCCCATTTACCATCTCCAGTCTGCCACCACCACCACACCACGATGCAGCACACACCGGCCACGCACTACTGTCCACAGTTACTAGAGGCTACAACTTCTTACACAGTAAGGTGAGGCACAAGGTACAAAGAAAGACCATACGAGAGGTACAGAGGGCGGCAGTATGGGGTGGTGGGAGAGGTAGCCCACACTGCTGCTTGCCTCCCTGTCTCCACCAGCACCACCACACACCAAGTACCAGGCAATCTTATCATATATGCCAATATGTACAAAGAGTAAAAATAATCATGTCTTTTGCTTATTTACATTGAGCCAGAACTAACAAGTACAGTACATAGGTGGTGGTGACAGACTTGTAAACTGCAACAGATGCAGTTGTTAATAGTGACCCTTTTCTTCTGGGTAGGCTGAATCCTCACCATTTATCAGACAGGCAAGAGACAACCCTAAATTGTGATAAGAGAGCCAGGGGCTCAAGTCAACCATGCAGATAATGACACTCAGGCCACATATACACAGTCTGCTTGACTATGACTTCTCTCAGCCCTAAACCAGTTGGGCAGTGAATTTTAAACCTTCAAGAGGTGGCAATTCATGACGGCCCTCAGATTACCAAAAGGCATTGAACTGTCCTCTTGAACATGCCAGTCACCAGTGCCTGTAAAAGGCTGGAGGGCTCTTGCAGGTGGGCAGGCTGGAGAAAGACTGGCAGAAGGGAGTAAGGGAATGTGATTCACAAACACAGGAGGCCGGGGAGCAGGGCTGTAGCTCCTCTCTTGGCACTGTCACGGTAGTGCGGCATTGACACACACACGGCGAAGGACACACACACTGCTCCCCAAGACTTTATTTTTGTACAGTTAACAACCGTTGTGGTCCATAGAGGCAGAGGCGATGGGGACACGATTGTGAGGGCTTCTTGACCCAAGGGACGGCACCCCCAGCTCGCCAGGCACTGATCACGCAGCACTGAGTGTCCTCTCACTGGTGCACGTGGTGACCCTTCTTGCACCTCACGAATTAGGGGCCCAGTTTTCTGACATTCTCGGCCGTTTGCTCAATGGGCTATCATAGTCACTGTGGTGAGAGGCTCCTTCAGGTGAGGCATGTGACGGAGTCAAGTGGCCTGGAAAGAAACAAATTTTATTAAAAGTGAATAAGGAATTTAAATAATGGGATTACTATTAATGTCAGTACTGTGTCATAAATGAAGACTAGAATATTACCTGAAAGTGCATTGGTGTAAAGTGTGTGCCCTGGATGATTGGAAGATGGACCCAAATGTGAAGGCGGTGCAGGTGACAAGTGGCCGGGGTCTGTGGATGCTGGTCTTTGCAGGTGAGATGCTGGGATACAGTTAGGGTCGCGTGGAGGACTGATTGGTTCTGACTTGATCCTAACAGGCGGGGAGGCTGCTGGGGGCGGTGTAGAGGAACTGACACTGAGGTGAGGCAGACCAGCATGTGACATTCCCAGTGACCCACTGTTCCACTGTCATAAAAAAAATAAGTTATATAGTACAGTCATCCCTTAATGACCTAGATAAAAAAAAAAGTTTGCAAAGTGATTCACATTTTCCAATGGAGATCCACGTTATAACTTGAAATGGAGATTACATCCACATTCTCAGTTTTCACTTTTTTTTTTTGTGGTGTACACTAGTTTGATGGATTTGGCTAGGTTCAATTCCCCATTTGGAATTGTCTTCACTTTTAATTCATTTGCTTATTATATTTGCTAACAGCACCAACACCATGTAGGTCATTCAAAGTAATATTTTAATCCCAACATGCAAAGTTGAAAAAAATCTTAAAGTTTTTTAAAATCATTAAAGAACAGCATGTCCCTGACTTGAGGTGTTCCACTGACATTTCACATTGACACTATCACCAATTAATTATTTACAAGTACTGATTTGCAGTTAGGACCACTGCAAATAGCAAGACAAATTATTTTTATGTAGTTTTTTAATAAATGCATTAATACTTTGTGTATATTCAATTTATGCCTCTAAAGAGGGCTCACATTATTTAAATATTAGGTTTTGTACAGTAAAACCTAGATTTAAGGGACAAAATCTGGACAATGCATGCAATCCAGAAACAAAGGAAATTGTATATTGCTTGCTTCTAGAATCATCTATATTATAATCAAGGGGAAGCACTAAACCCATAGGATTATACAATGCCTGGGGGGGGGGGGATGTGGAAGGCATTCAGGCTTAATTTGGGGAACTGGAGCACTGATCCAATTCCCTAAATCAAGAGCCCCTCCCCAACATCAAGGAACCTTCCATGAGGGGGAATCATCTATAAAGATTTCAAAAAGATACTTGCTGAAAATAAGAATAATTTTGTTTTGGAGTGAGATTAAGAAGTTGAAAAAGCCTAGGGAACAAATGGATTTAAGTTATAAGAGTGGCAGTGATTTTATGCACTGGGCAGGGAAGTATATTTAACATCTTATACCAGAGAAAGAGCTGCTGCTAGTGTAGAGGTGGTGCGAGAGGCCTCAAGCAGAATGGGAGTAAAGTAGCTGGGATTGTAGATAAAGACAAATGTTAAAAAGCAGGAGATATATTTTTGTAGTAGTTGGTGCACTTGTTCAATAAATGTATGAAAGGAGAAAGGTACCCAGGGACTGACAGAAAGCTTGCCTTGTTCATTTGTATGAACTAATATATACAGCCCTAAATAAAAAGCAATGTCCTCTGGGGCTCTTCACTGACCTACAGAAAGCATATGATACAGTGGACTACAATCTCCTGCATCTAAAAGTAAATCATTACGGCATCAGAGGACATTGTCATTAAGATAAGATTTTAGGTAGACCAGTATGTATATGCAAACAGGGTCAATGCCACTATCTAGCCTGTAGCTGTTGGAGTGCCCCAGGGTAGTGTTCTAGGCCCTCTTATCTACATAAATGAGCTCCCCAGTTCTATTCATATTATAATTAAAAACCCCTCAAGGAAGGTTCCTTGATGTTGGTGAGGGGCTCTTGATTTAGGGAATTGGATCTGTGCTCCAGTTCCCCGAATTAAGCCTGAATGCCTTCCACATCCCCCCCCCCCAGGCGCTGTATAATCCTCCGGGTTTAGCGCTTCCCCCTTGATTATAATAATAATAATATAATTAAAAAGAATGTTCTATTCATAGATGACACTAATGTTTACTCCCACTCAAACCCAGCTATACTTGGTAACACTGTAAACAACGAGCTGCTGAAAATATATATACAGCTTCATCTACTTACGACAGGCTCTCTGACCAATATGCATAGTAGAGCTGATTTCCTCTATTCTGTTTATTACAATATAGTACTGTATAAACATTTAAAAATATACGAGAAATGTTATAAATGGTGCAAAGGTGACATTAAAACAATGCCAAAGATGGTCGACGCAAACCCACTACCATTATAGTATGCTCCTCACTAGCGACGAATTCGTTTACCGACGAGGTCTTAGGAACGGAACTCCTTGTTAAGTGAAGAGAGGCTGTACTTCGATGACCAACAAATTCACTCTGAACATAGACAAAACATATTTAATACATCGATAAATGGATCCCCTGTTTCAAGACACACTCGGGGAAAATTTCTAGGTCTTCTCCTTGACACTAATCTTAAATTTCATTCCCACATCCAGCATATATCCAAGAAAATTTCCAAATCAGTAGGCATCCTTTCCAAGATACAATACTATGTACCACTAATATATCCTTACCTCACCTATGGTATTTGTGCCTGGGGATCAACCACCTCACAACTGTCCATACGTAGCTCTACGTTTTTTTTTCCTGCCTCCAAATTTGGCATGAATGGGTCTTAACACTCAGTATGCACAGTATTAAAAAAAAACATCTGGGACCACCACCCAGTACCTTGTGGGAGCACCAGTTCAATCGAGTGCCAGCTAGAGCAAACACCAAGGATTCACTGATGTCATGTTGTATTAACACTCCCCTTTTAAGAGGAAAGTGTTGTTGACCCCGAGTTTAGTGGCTTCGAGGTGGAAGTGTTCGCAGAAATATCAAAAACCTTGATAATAATCCATGTGCAACACCCTTTCAATTTTGGTACCACTGGTAGTGTCATCCTGCCAGAAAGTCCTATAACCTATGCCCTAAGTAAAAAGAAAATTCTGGAACGTGTAATAATGTTCGGCAGGCTGGCTGATTTGCTCTCACAGGTACACATACATTTATATATAGTATAAATTACCTAGGATAAATAAAAAAATCCAAGTGCTATACTGTGCTTGTAGATAATAGGCATGATTGACAAGTACTACGCAATTTCACTTGTTCAGGAATCAGACGTGATCATGTGTAATAACAGTTGGTTCATGAGCAACTCTGAGATAAGCAGACATAGCTAGACAAACATATTTATGTGTAACAGTGAAAACAAATAAAGCCAGGGTTCCATGCAGCAGTGCACGATCATCAAGTGTCACTCCACTGTTTACCCTGTCAGCAGTTTAGTAACACTCGTTTTCACACAGATTCAAAAAGTTTCTTATATACTCCAGCGTGTCTAAAACATTGCTGGGACCTATAAATACTATATACAGTGGACCAGCGATGGCATCGATTAACGATATATCTGACTAGCGATACATTTTATCACAAAAATTTTGCCTTGATTAGCGCTAAAAAACTCTACCAACACTTCGTTCCGAATGAGACGCATCCACTTCTGGCCAGTGTTTACAAGCCAGCCACCGCGGTCGCTTCCAAGCATACAATTGGAACATTTCATATCACAGCCTTTTTAGTGATTGCACCTGCAAAATAAGTCACCATGGGCCCCAAGAAAGCTTCTAGTGCCAACCCTACAGCAAAAAGGGTGAGAATTACTATGGATATGAAGAAAGAGATCATTGCTAAGTATGAAAGTGGACTGCGCGTCTCCGAGCTGGCCAGGCTGTACACAAAACCCCAATCAACCATCGCTACTATTTTTTTTTTTTATCACACTGGCCGATTCCCACCAAGGCAGGGTGGCCCGAAAAAGAAAAACTTTCACCATCATTCACTCCATCACTGTCTTGCCAGAAGGGTGCTTTACACTACAGTTTTTAAACTGCAACATTAACACCCCTCCTTCAGAGTGCAGGCACTGTACTTCCCATCTCCAGGACTCAAGTCCGGCCTGCCGGTTTCCCTGAATCCCTTCATAAATGTTACTTTGCTCACACTCCAACAGCACGTCAAGTATTAAAAACCATTTGTCTCCATTCACTCCTATCAAACACGCTCACGCATGCCTGCTGGAAGTCCAAGCCGCTCGCACACAAAACCTCCTTTACCCCCTCCCTCCAACCTTTCCTAGGCCGACCCCTACCCCGCCTTCCTTCCACTACAGACTGATACACTCTTGAAGTTATTCTGTTTCGCTCCATTCTCTCCACAAGTCCGAACCACCTCAACAACCCTTCCTCAGCCCTCTGGACAACAGTTTTGGTAATCCCGCACCTCCTCCTAACTTCCAAACTACGAATTCTCTGCATTATATTCACACCACACATTGCCCTCAGACATGACATCTCCACTGCGTCCAGCCTTCTCCTCGCTGCAACATTCATCACCCATGCTTCACACCCATATAAGAGCATTGGTAAAACTATACTCTCATACATTCCCCTCTTTGCTTCCAAGGACAAAGTTCTTTGTCTCCACAGACTCCTAAGTGCACCACTCACCCTTTTCCCCTCATCAATTCTATGATTCACCTCATCTTTCATACACCCATCTGCTGACACGTCCACTCCCAAATATCTGAATACATTCACCTCCTCCAATCTGATATCCAATCTTTCATCACCTAATCTTTTTGTTATCCTCATAACCTTACTCTTTCCTGTATTCACTTTCAATTTTCTTCTTTTGCACACCCTACCAAATTCATCCACCAATCTCTGCAACTTCTCTTCAGAATCTCCCAAGAGCACAGTGTCATCAGCAAAGAACAACTGTGACAACTCCCACTTTATGTGTGATTCTTTATCTTTTAACTCCACGCCTCTTGCCAAGACCCTCGCATTTACTTCTCTTACAACCCCATCTATAAATATTAAACAGCCACGGTGACATCACACATCCTTGTCTAGGGCCTACTTTTACTGGGAAATAATTTCCCTCTTTCCTACATACTCTAACTTGAGCCTCACTATCCTCGTAAAAGCATTTCACTGCTTTCAGTAACCTACCTCCTACACCATACACCTGCCACATTGCCCCCCTATCCACCCTGTCATACGCCTTTTCCAAATCCATAAATGCCACAAAGACCTCTTTAGCCTTATCTAAATACTGTTCACTTATATGTTTCACTGTAAACACCTGGTCCACACACCCCCTACCTTTCCTAAAGCCTCCTTGTTCATCTGCTATCCTATTCTCCGTCTTACTCTTAATTCTTTCAATAATAACTACCATACACTTTGCCAGGTATACTCAACAGACTTATCCCCCTATAATTTTTGCACTCTCTTTTATCCCCTTTGCCT